GCGCCGGTGTATGCAAATTAACCTGCCATCTTTGTCGGGTTAATTTGCATGCTTGCTCCTGATTGGCCGGTGGTTGTAGCGGAGGGATGGTCTATTTACATGTTTCTCTTTTATTAGATAGGATTATAATTTTATAAATTAATTTTATTTAAAATACATTTAGTGTCCTAATCGGTTTGGCTCAGTGGATAGAGCGTCGGCCTGCGGACTCAAGGGTCCCAGGTTCTATTCCGGCCAAAAGCATGTACCTTGGTTGCAGGCACATACCCAGTAGGGAGTGTGCAGGAGGCAGCTGATCGATGTTTCTCTCTCATTGATGTTTCTGACTCTCTATCCCTTTCCTTTCCTCTCTGTAAAAAATCAATAAAAAATACATTAAAAAAAAACTATATGAAAAAATAAATAAATAAAATACATTTAGTTTTGATACGAGTAGAACTAAAAGTTTTTAAAATATGGGATGTCTTAGGTTTTTTTTATAAGAAGCAGTTTTAAAAAATGACACTAGGAGAAATACCAAACATGGTGGTTGAATTTTAAAAGTTATGGTTTATGAATTTACTACCCTCCATGTATCTAGTAGATTCAACTTATTTTCAAATAGAGACTTAAAGAAGAAGGAGGCAATAGGGTCTCATAATGTACCATTCTCAATGTTTTTGACATGGAATTTTATCTAATTAACCTTATTTTTTCAGCTTTTACTAACATTGATTTCTTCTTCTAGTGTTTTCTTTTTATTTCCTACCTGAACTTCTGAAAACTCAAGTTTGCCTTTATTTGGATAGGTTATTTTATATTTATTGTATATCTAAAAATACATAATTTTTTTGGCATTATATAAAAGATGCAGTTGTTGCAGAAATACAAAGTTCTCAAAAAGCAAGAAAGAGCCTGGCTGGTGTGACTTAGTGGTTGAGCATCGACCCATGCACCAAGAAGTCACCCTTCAATTCCTGGTCAGGGCACATACCCAGGTTGCAGGCTCAATCCCCTTTAGGGGACTTGTAGGAGGCAGTTCATTGATGTTTCTCTCTCATCGATGTTTCTATCTCTCCCTCTCCTTTCCTCTCTCTCTAAAACGAATAAAAATATATTTTTTAAAAGAGAGAAGAGGAAAATACAAGGCCAGGCAGTATAAAGTGTTGTTTGTTTGTTTGTTTTTAGCTAAATTAAAAAAAGGATAGTCTTGGCAGAATTTCCAGCCTTATCTTGGATCAAACATGGGAAATAGTGTTATTATTTTATAATGTTTTAAAGACTTGGGAAATCTTAGATTTGGAGCAAACCCCGTCTAGCCTCACATCTCATGTAGGAATTCAATCTACATGTGGTATTATCTAGACTTTGCTTGATTACTTTCAGTGACAAGGAAGTCACTACTTCAGTGCAGGATAAGATGAAGGGATTGGGCTACTACAAGGTTGTCTTATCCACATCCCTCTGGAAAAGTAGTATCTTCCTCTAGCAATGGCAGGGTCAAGGATACTAGGTCCTCGCCTGTTTGGCTCAATGGCTAGAGCATTAGCCTGAGGGCTGAAGGGTCCTGGGTTTGATTCCAGTCCAGGGCATATACCTTGGTTGCAGGCTCAATACCCAGCCCTGGTTGGGGCGGGTGTGGGAAGCAACCAATTGATGTGTTTCTCATGTCGATGTTTCTCTCTCTCTGCCTTTCCCCCTCCCTTTCACTCTGAAAATAAATGGGGGAAAAAGGATAATAGGAGAAATACTCTCAAAGTGGCAAAGAAAATGGATAATTGTGAGAGAGGAGAGAGGCTTTTCTTATGATTTGATAACAGATCAGGCTTTCACTTTCAGTTATTAATGGCTACTGTTTATTGGAATTTGTTATCATCAGACTAAGACAAAGCTAATGTTAAGTGTCACAGGCAAACCTCCCTTCCTAATTTTAGTACAAGCTTAGGTCAACTCTAATTTGCCAGATTTCATTTCCTTTTCCTTTTTGATGTTGTCCTGCCCAGCCACCTGCTTGAGACAGCTCATAGCACTGCTCTTCCCACAGGCCTGCTGCCTCCTGACCCCCCACACTGCCATCTTATACTAGATTTCATTTTACTGGCCACATTTGAGCTACAGAATTTTTCTTTACACTCTAACTTGCTTAGGGGCTTAGGTCTTCTTTATGATCCTCTAAATGTATTATCTTTTAAAATGGCATTCAAAACATCTTAATGTATAGCTGACAACTTCTTAAGCCCTCTAGGGTATTCTGTCCCCTCACACAAAAATAGCCTCTCATTTGGGAGAACAGGAAGGAGAACTCTTTGTCTCTCTAATTAAAAAAGATATGTAGGAGAACCAAGATGGCGGCATAGGTTAATGCCGGAGTTTGCCGCCTCGAACAACCATTTCAAAAGTGAAACTAAAAGACGGAAGGGACATCATCCAGAACCACAGGAACGGTGGCTGAGTGGAAGTCCTACAACTAGGAGGAAAGAGTAACGCATTCGGACACTCAGAGGAGGCGCAGTGCTGAAGGCAAATTCTGAGGTGCGGAGTGCGCGG